CATGGTTATACAAAACCAGTTCATCATGGTCCCACTTTGTATGATCTTTTTGCACATTCAAGGTTCAGTTTATACTGGTTCCGTATAGCTTGACATGCAGCCGTGACAAGAAAACATATCTAAATACGTTCCTTTTGTGAAAACGACAGTTGCAATGTTCTTTTTAAATCCTTTGTGGGAAACTTCCAAGTCAGCGGAGATGGGGATCTCAACTGAGAATCGAACTTAGAACCCACCTGTTAGGAAAGTATTAGAAGTTTATTCTGCCTGTGGTCTGAAATGTTTGTTAGTATTGTAATATATATTGTTTTATGGGATGGGTCAATGAGGGTGTCTATTAAATAATTTTAGTTTGATAATAATTAATACCATATTAAGTATAATAACAAGCTTAGAAATAATAAATATCAACACAATAATACATTATATTATATTATAGGTATATACCTATCTCGAGAATCAACCAAAGATGGTAAACGTCGGGTCATCAAAGACAACAAAAAAAAACTATCGGGCATAGTTTTTTTTTAAACGTTGCCCCACATTAGGATTTTCTCCTGTGTCGGGGGTGCGTTTACAAACATACAAGTTCACATACACAATGACACCCAGACCCGAAACAACAATAATAATATGTGGATCACACAAAGTGTTGTTCCATGCGGTAATCAAACCCGCGACACGTTACACGGCAGCCGGTTGCACAGCCACCACACCAACCGTGCAGTCAAATAAATAGTGGAACTCAGCTGATGTTTCGGGTGTCCACGGGCCGCAGTGATCGCTCATCATCAGGTGATTCGTATGATCATTTACCACTAATTCCATAAAAAAAATATTTAAAATTATATCCACTCCTATTTTTCCCGAAGGTGTTGTAAGACTATCTTTGCATGCCAAGTTAAGGCAAAATATGGAGAAACTACAAACTTTGTTAACACCTATATATTATGTACCCATGTTTGCAAATGATTAAATGAATATGAATATGAATATGACTAATGAACTAAATATTTGACAGAGATCGATAATAACGTTCTATGATAAACCTGCAGCTGTAGCCAAATGCCACCTAGCGCTTGTCTACATGTAGAATAGAAAACCAAATTATATGGAATTGACGTAGATTTTGACACTTGTCAGTGTCATCCCCATACATTATGATTTCTACTCTCTCTGTAGACAAGCGCTAAACTGGCGTTTGGCTAGAGGCCCTTAAACTGCAATTTTCAACTTCATCTTCCATAAAAATCTTCTTTATCCAGGCCTTTATGCTAAGTCTAACCTAAGAGAACGTCTTATTTTACTATACAACATTGTAAAGATGAGTGAAACAGTAGGATTTCATAGTTTTCATATTTCATGTTGTCCCGGGTTTGTGTCGAGACATCCGGCGCCTCCAGGGACTGCTGTCGGTCCCAGTTTCTGTACTGTGTTGTTAAAGGTATGGTTCTACTGCAAGCGGGAGGCAGTTGATGCAAAAACTACAGTTAAATTACAATGATTAATTTTTTAAGGCTTTTACGGAGGTATACGAGCAAACGGCTCAATGATTATTATTAAAATTTATACATTGAAAACTTCAAGGTTAGGAGTTCTAGTATATTAATTTCATCATCATCATCAACAGCCTATAAATGCCCACTGCTGAGCAAAGCCTCTTCTCACACGGAGAAGGTTTGAGCATTAATCACCACGCTTGTTAAATGCGGGTTGGCGATTAAAAACTTATAATTAGAAATTATAAGCCCAGGTTTCCTCACGATGTTTTCCTTCACCGTTTGTCAGTGGTGTCTGAATAATCTTAGAAAGTACATATAACTCGGAAAAAGTCACATTGGTACTTGCCGTTGGTAGGTTTCGAACCCTCATGCATGAGAAGCGGGCGTCTTAAACCTCCGGGCCACCACACGTATATTAATTTACCTATATTTATTTATATTAGTCACATTTATTTATGTCTCCAGTCGAGAAAGTCATGTTGTACTGAAGCATGGCTGTTCTTTGTGTCAACTCTTATTTCGAACAGTTAATCTTAAATATCTCGCTTGCAGTGAGACCATACAATTTCAGTTATGTTCAGTAACAGCATATTAATGACCCGCTACAGAGGAATCCGGGCCGTTATCATAACTTCGCAAGTGATCCCTATCTAACTAGATCCTTATCAGAAACGATTAGCTGGTGATTAACAGTCTGTGCTTGTTTATTTGTTTGTTTGTTTGTTTCTGACTGCCTTATTGGCCGAGTGGTCGCAAGTGCGACTGCCGGGCAAGGGGTTTCGGGTTCGATTCCTGGGTCGAGCAAAGTATTACATAACATAACATAATGTCACGCCTTTTATTCCCGAAGGGGTAGGCCTCTAATTTTTGTAATAGTAAAATATTATTATGGTCTACAAATCAGACCGTAGTCAGCAGAAAAGATTTAGAAAAAGAAAGTTTTAAAATGAAGACGACTTTCTCATCGCAACAATAGGTAATATCAGATCAATTTAGGATCGTATATAACCACACATTTGTGTGAATAATATATATATTCATAGAAATACTTGAAAAATGTAGTTACATTTACTCGAAAACCAACGAAACACAAATACAAAATTAAAATAAAACACAAATACTCCAAAAACTCATACTCATATCTATTATATTTACTCAAATATGTATATCTCTAAGTGAGAGAACTATGCATTCTCTGGCGTGTGGTAATCACAGTGGAGTTTACTCAAGAAATTGATGTCTCTACAAACATCAGTTACATTTCTCTCCGTCTGTTTTGTTTGTACAGTTTTATTTCATATCGTTGAAAGTGATACTGTGTTACTACATAACATAACATCACGCCTTTCATCCCCGAAGCGGTAGGCAGAGGTGCATATTACGGCACTCAATGCCACTGTACAATGTAACACCCACTTTACACTATTTATGTTAAGAGTCCCATGTAATAGGGGGTGAGCCTATTGCCATACACCGGGCATATTTCCAGACTCCGTGCTACTACTGAGATTTTTTTAAAACCCAGTAATACTTTGCCCGACCCGGGAATCGAACCCGAGACCCCTTACCGAGTCACACTTGCGACCACTCAGCCAACGAGACAGTCAACTGTGTTACTTGAAACAGTTAATTATTATTTCAAAGTTTACGAAAGGTTATCATTGATTTCAAAATCCAATTAGTTAAGATATATGGAAATATATATTAACAGTTCCCTACTGAACTACCCATAGTTATTACAAAATTTTATCTCCCTCTACATAAAATTTTGTAATAATCTGCACGCTTATATCATGATAGCCAGGAGGTCAAGACGCCCGCTTCCCATGCAAGAGGGTACGGGTTCGAAACCTAGCAACGGCAAGTACCAATCTGAATTTTATTTCGAGTTATGTACTTTCTAACCTTATTGAGACACCACTGACAAACGGTGTGACAAATACATTCTAGTCTACGTCACCACACAATATAGGGCTCGTATCACATTTGAACATATCCCTACCATTCTGAAAAATCAACATGATTTTATGAGAAGTCATGATAACATTTTTTTTTAAACTGTCAAACACCATGCGGTCACCTATTGTTCTATAATTGTGTCTACAAAACCGGTACTCGACGAGTTAAGGGGGGAAAATCATCGAATGACTGCTCCCGCCTGGGTGAGGCGGGAGGGAGTGTCCAGACTCTTACTGACTAAAAACCACCCTCCGTTCCTTCTCCTGCACGTCAAACCGGAGCCCCGGTTACCCGTTAGGTTCTCCGCGACTCCGAATCAGTATCGGCCCTATTGGCCCCATCTGTGGTGGTCTGATGGCTCTTTGAGGCGCGCGCGGAATGGGACGCGCCGTACGCTCGGGGTCATGATAATATTAGGGTGGGTGGACGACTCGATTAAGGTCACAGCCGTTGGATGCAAGGCGCATCCTATCTGGAATTCATTGGGGAGGCCTATGTTCAAATTCGTAAGCTGAAGTGGCAACAGCCGGTCACATTTGGAGGCCCAATTACCCCCCTTTCTTTCCTTTCCCCTACCTAAGACCGGTACTGCACTTATAACGCCTCTGGAGTTCCAGATGTCCATAGGCGACGCCGATTGCTTACCATCAGGTGATCTGAAGGCTCGTTTATGGGCTTATCCCATAAAAAAAAATAGAAGAACCGAATACCGTTGATATAAACGTGTTCTAGAAAGGGGATCGCGTCTAGCTTGGTGGAGTGTCAACGTACTGGTGGCTGGCAGTGGTTGGATGAGAATAGCTGAAGACCGAGCTCAGTGGTATGCCATTGGAGAGACCTATGTCCAACAGTGGACGAACACAGGCTGATGATGTAGATTATGATGACACTGAAACCTAACATTTCATTTACAACAATGATAGCCAAAGAGAATTTACTCAGTGAAGTCGTTTCTAAGTAAAATTGGGTAAGAATCTTCGTATACACTTCATAATGAGTCTCCCTAGGGTAGTGGACCGTATCTTTGGCTCAAAGGACTGCCATCTCCCTGTTTGCATGGAGTAATGGATATACATCCCTATTTACTATAACATAAATAATTAAATCAGTTTGAACGTGCAGCGTTACATATTTCACATTGCTTGTAATTTCTTAGAGGGGACAAGCACACCGTTAGTTTAGACTTATGTCTGATAAGTGGGATTTTTTTTTATGGCATAAACCGGTAAATGAGCAGACGGATCACCCGATTGATGGTAAGCAATCGGCGTGGACACGACCATGGACACCTGGAACGCAAGAAGTGTGACAAGTGTGTTACGGCCTTTTGGGGATTAGGAGTTTGAGGATCGTGGGGGATTCGTTTTATACGTCGATGACGGATTGGGGAGATTGGGGAAGGGGTAGGGTAGCTGGGTCTATAGAGTACAAGAAGATATTCTAGGCAAATATTTAAGTGAATATGATAAAAAATTACCCAATGCTAGTCGGACTGCCGCACAAGATAAGGATTTATATATACAAAGAAACACATTTATTGTAAGGAAAACTGTTTTACACATTTATTTCAAGTATTTGTTATACATTATCTGTGAAAATTAGGACAATTTGTGAAATATAGCCTGGTGATAGACAGACAGTCTGTATGTCTGTCAGCAAGCTAAAAAGGGTTTAAACTGAAGCATCCTTATGATAATTATCCACTTTGCGTCATTTGACGAATGCATGCATCCTTAACAAACAATAAACGGCCTACAAATGCGTGCATCTTGCTTAAGAATAAAAAAAAAAACGGTCCATGAAGCGGAAACGTTAAAACCGCCTATTGTGTTTGACGAACGCATGAATTCATTAAATCATGCAATGTGTCCACATTACGGTCTCGTAATCGACAAACGAACAGTCGTGAAGAAGTTAATGAATAAATGAATGAATATCGTTTACATAAATAAAACTAACCTATACTTATGACGCAGCCTTGAATAGACGCTGTTCCCAACCCTCTCGTGGTACGAATTTCAGTTGGATTCCTCCAATTAGCGCGGTGATCACAGATCGAGGCTCGAAGTCAACTTTTTCATTCATTCCTGGAGCAAGTTCCACTCGATATTTCTTCAGTAAAGTTATAATTCCCGCTGTAATCTGCATCTTTGCGAACCTCATTCCTGAAACGAGAGATTGATAGTATAAATAATTTAGTTCCCAATCTTTATATTCTGCTGCAGTAATAAGCTCGTCGTACCCGTAGGTACAAACATAGTAGTCGGACTAGTGACTTCGCTGTTAAATGCGGGCCGTAAAAGTTGCATAATTTTCCTTCTCACAAGATCAAACTACTTTTCGAACAGATATTATAACACGGTTTTTTGCTTAACATGAGCCTCCTAATTTAAATGTTTGTTAAAAATCCCTCTATGATTCTGTTACTTCAAAGTTTATAATGTAATGATAGACACTTACCAATACAAAGTCTAGGTCCCTCGCCAAAAGGAAAGTACGTATATGGTATAATATTCTGTTTAGCGTCACCCAGGAACCGCTCCGGACGAAACTGCTCTGGCTCGGGGAAATACTTAGGGTTGTGTTGCATGTGGTACACAGGCAAATGTACCCGGAGCCCTTTCTCTAACTTTAATCCTGTTGAGAATGTGTAATCCTCAATGACTTCCCGAGTTATGACTCCCAGCACTGGGTACAGACGAAGAGCTTCATTAACACAAGCTTCCACGTAAGGCAACTCAGTAACGCACTCATATTTTAATACGTTATCATTGCGACGCATATAGTTGTCCACATCTTGGAACGCCAGCTCTTGAGCTTCGGGGTTTTTCGCCAATTCAAGCAAAGTATGACTCAACGTAGTTGCCGACGTCTCAAAGCCAGCAGCGAAGAACAAGAAACATTGGGATATCAAAAATTCATCGTCAATTTCTAAAGTCACTTTCTTTGATGCATCACCGTTCCTGTTCGACATACTGTCACCGGTCACCGTTTTCTGGTTATACAACTTCAACATAAGATCAACGAAGTCGTGCCTCGTTGTTGGCTTGTAATCTCGCCCTTTAAAGGTTTCAGTCATCAAATTGGTAAAGAAATTGTCAACGTCAACAGGTTGTGATTTGAATCCCAAACCATAAAAGATGGCTGGCCAGATACCTCTTGCGACAAGCTTGAATGCTCTGTACCAATTAGTATCAAAGATGACATTACCGATTTCCGTGAATGGATTATTTTCAGTCTTCACCATTGTGCGAGTCTCAACACCAAAAGCACAGTTTCCAATTGAATCCATTGTGAACTTACCTATAAGGGCTTTCACTTCAATATCTTTACCCTTCTGTACTTCTTGGTCGATCAGAGTTTCGAAGACACGCGCACATTTCTCAACTAAATGAAACATATTCTTCATCTTGGCGGATGAGAATAAAGGCGTGAGGTTCTGACGTTGCACCTTCCACTTGTCACCAGAACTCAAGAAAAGGTTTCTAGTTGCCAATTCTTTTTCCGAGTAATTTGATGTTTCACGGCCGCTGAAGAAATAATAGTCCTTTGTCATGACGGCCTTGATTAATTCTGGATCTTGTATAATAAGCGTTGGTTCCGTGCCTAAGTAGGAACCAACGTATGGTTCTTCGGGGAACATTTTACATAGTTCCTGTTCAACACGTCCAAGGTATTTCTTCTGAAGAATATGTTCGGAGAAATTTCCCAGAATTAGTTTTGGTGGTATATGCGGCACTTTCTTTTTCTCCCAGTATCTGTATTTTCTTATTGATATGAGGTAGATGCTGTACAGCGCCAGTGGTATGGCGAGCAACAAGTACAACGTGATCATGGTTAGAGTGTTTAGGAGTGTTGATAACTCTAGTTAGTTTGTTTCGGGTATTTATAGTGTCACAGATAAATGACTATGAATTGTTAACATTTGGGACATTATCGTGACTGATAACTAGTGAGACAAATAAAGTTGGTAAAATAATTTCATTTACTTATTGTACTAGGCCACTTTTTACCATTTAGGTTATAATGTATCACCAGATATGTTGATGAGTGTCATAGGGATTTGCATAAGAATTTTCGATTTTATTTTTTCATATATTGAGAGAATTTTAAGATCCCGATACAATGACATTAGATTTAACCCCTACCCATGGAGAGTGAAGAAAAAGCGGACGTAATGTTATTTAGAAATGATTAAATTACAAAAGACTTTTTTTAAGGGGGAAAAATCATCGAATGACTGCTCCCGCCTGGGTGAGGCGGGAGGGAGTGTCAGACTCTTACTGACTAGAAACCACCCCGTTCCTTCTCCTGCACGCCGACCCGGAGCCCCGGTAACACGTAAGGTTCTCCGCGACAAGAGACTGTGTTCGCCTTTTTTTCAATGTTGCCCCTACTTTACATAGTACCTTATAATTGAAAAGACGGTTTAACATTGTTTATTTCCACCGATTCTGCTTTTGTTTTAGGACTTACACCTATTAAAAAAGCTGAAATTATGTCTGTTACGTCGAATAAATTTGTCCTGTTTAACTTAAAATGACTGACAACGTAGTAAAATAATCTGATGTTTGTAAATCTTGCAAGATTTTTACGAGTCACAGTGATAATTGTAAAGATATCTAAATTACATACCAAAAGATTGTAAAATAAATTATGCATTGTAAAAAAGAGTTTATTTTTATAGGAATTATTTTGCATACGACTATAACATTTAAAAACAAGCACCTATGGCGAACGCTAAACATTCGATATATTTTTATTAATCTTTATTTTATAAGTCGTGTTTTTTTTTCCTAAGAGAAAATGCCCTATTGTAGAATACTAAATAAAGCGGCTAAACCATTGTGGCGACACATGTCACATGTCAAATGACAGCATGACAGTCCACGCACATAGACTATCATTGAAACAAATCAACGGATGACGTCACAAAATCCTACATCGCACATGTGAAGTTTACCAGCTAATTAACACGGATAGAAAATCCCAACGAACAACTGTCGGGCAGAAAGCCTGCTAGGCATGAACACCTCGCTTGGTCGGAGGATCCTCCTTTTCCGATCTTAGGGAACTACTCTGTTTCCTAAACCGTTTATAGGTTTAACGAGCCTTTAAACTAAAACATAAAAATAATTAAATGATACAATTTTCTAACCTCAGATGACAATGGTGACGCTAGAACACTGTGATAAAAACCAATATAGAAAAGATATTTATCAAGTAATATTTAATTATAATATAATTATTATTATTATCACGCTATATTACAAACTTGATAAATATAGTGATCCTGAATTATGATCCAAATATCACGATGAATATCTCGAGCGTGTAGCATTCGCCTTTAAGGTTAAGTCGTACGTGTCATCAATCGATTTTCAGTTTTATTATATAGTATTACTAGCGACCCGCCCCGGCTTCGCACGGGTGCAATATGTATATACATACAAACCTTCCTTAAGAATCACTCTATCTATTAAAAAAACCGCATCAAAATCCGTTGCGTAGTTTTAAAGATCAAAGCATACATACGGACATACAGCGAAAGCGACTTTGTTTTATACTATGTATTGATATTAGATTATCGTGTAAAATGATATAGTTAAATATTTAATTAAAGAAATTCTTCATCACTGTTGTGGTACTTATGTCTATCATTATTGTTTAAGAGCGATAAACTCAAAAACTACTGAACGAATTTTGATACGATTCTACTCCATAGATAAGAATTGTTCTTGCGGCCTACCGCAAGTTACCTACCTAACCTAGTTAAACAGTCGCGGAGAACCTAACGGGTAACCGGGGCTCCGGCTCGACGTGCAGGAGAAGGAACGGGGTGGTTTTTAAACAGTAAGAGTCTGACACTCCCTCCCGCCTCACCCAGGCGGGAGAAGTCATTCGATGATTTTCCCCCCTTAAAAAAAAAAAAAAAAACCTAGTTAAAAACAACCTTCAACAATCTTTGACGATTTGAATACTCCAAGGGAAGCTGCTGCCGAAAAGATGTAACAAATATACATTTATATGATTTTCTGTCTTGACTGCCTCGTTGGTTGGTTGCAGGTGCGACTGCCAGGCTCTCAGGTTCGATTTTCGGGTCGGGTAAAATACTACTGGGTTTTAAAAAAATCTCAGTGGTAGCACGGAGTCTGGAATTGTGCCCGGTACATGGCAATACGCTCTCCCCGTATTACATGGGACTCATAACATAAATAGTGGATAGTGTGTGTTACATTGTACAGTGGTATAATGTGCACATCTGCCTACCCCTTATAGGATAAAAGGCGTTATGTTATGTTATGTCATATGTTTTTTTTTAAATTCTCTGTCTATCCCGTCAGGACCTTGTGGGTATGTAATCAATTCAATAGAAATAAGAATAAGATGTTCATAGTTCGCTCTTATCAAACGTGTTTGTCCTATTTATCTTAATAAAACATGGTCCCCAGAAAAAATTGTGTAATCATCCCAATAGAATTATAAATCAAGATAAGAAATCTTGAATGTTTCCTAACTAATCTGCCATTAGACATAAAAATTTGGGTGCCATTTGTTACTGTATTTTCAGCTGACATATTGGAAAAAAATGTTTTAACATAACATAACATCACGCCTTTTATCTCCGAAGAGGTAGGCAGAGGTGTACATTATTGCATGCCACTGTACAATATAATACGGCCACTTTTCACTATTTATACTATGAGTCCCTTGTAATAGGGGGTAAGTCTATTGCTATAATACTGGGCACATTTCCAAACTCCGTGCTAGTACTGAGATTTTTTTTAAAACCCAGTAATACCTTTCCTGACCCGGGAATCGAATCCGAGACCCCTTGCAACGAAGCAGTCAAAAAAGTTTTAGTAAACAACTATTCAACAGAGGCCTTAGTACAAATTTGTATTGGGTTTAACAAGATCGAGCCGAGACCGCGTTCGCCGCTTTGATTGGTTGGTTCATTTTTGCTAGCCAATCAGAGCGCCGATTGTAATCATTTAAATAAACTTGTATTAAGCCCTCAGGTCACAAGATCGACTACCAAGAAGTAGTCTAGGGCAAAACGTATTATTTATTTATTTATTTAAGGGCAACCAAAAAAGCATACATCAAAATACATGATAGATAGGTTTTTTTAACGTAATTTAACACTATAGTTTAACAGTGTAGCCTTAATTAAAGGGTGCCACGTAATAAATTAAAAAAGTACAGAATATTTCAGCAAAAAATCGCATATAAAAAAGACCTAATAATACTTATTAAATCACAATTGTTAAATTTTAATTTTTAAACTGTTATATACATATTATCTATTCATTTAAAAAATACAGCATCGTCTTCTATTTATGGCAATAAACTCATTCCTATAATGTGAATCTCACTAGGTAAATAAATTGGCAAATAGTTTTATTGTGCCCTTCTGCCAACGCCTTCAGACGTTAAAGCCCTTGAAGTTATGTAAAAAAAACCGACACATTCTTATTATGCGCATTGCTGAGTAAAAAACTCACTATAGTTTGAGTATTATAATTTTAATTTAATACCTACGTTACCACTGACAGGCGGATAAACAGAAAAATATTTGTTTTACCCGTTTGTTAAATATTATATTTAAACTTTTTTAGTGATATTATATTAACAGATTTGATTTTATAGCTAAACAATTATCATGACAAGGCAGATAAACTAATTGTTTTCAACAATGAAATGTTGCACAAGTATTTGAAATAATGAGGTAAAAAATGAAGATGTTTTAATTTCAGTTTTCACAGTTGGTGATAGTCGTGAAACTAAGGTATTCAGTATCAGTCGTGTTCTCCTCTTCAGAGGAAATTTTAAATAATTATTGTTTATTTGGTACCTTTCTATTTTTTTAATTCTATTGCTTTTGTCATAAATATTTGTAGAGGAAAAAAGTATATTATTTTTTTTGCAAGTAACCTAAACCTCACAGGTAAAATTCAATATGACAGGTAAGATGTCTAATTAATTTTGTCTTTTGTTACAATTTACATTTTACAATTTGTTCTGAAGAATAATCATCGCGCCTCAATGCCCTACATGCTGTATTTTCCAATTAAACTGATATCAAAATTACTTTTCAATACTACTCATAGGTACTTTCATAACAATAATTTAAGCAAAATGTATATTAACTACTTACGTTTTTACCATAAAATTGCGAACTTTGTTGCCATCACTTCTGTTATCCACTTAGCTAAAGATAGCACCTTAAATCGAGGAGTTTTCTCATGAAATTCCATCAACGTAAATTGTAATAATTCTCTGGGATCACAGTTCGAACAAACTTGCAACTGAAGTATGCTTCAACAGCTTTCAAACTACTACAATACCTGAATTCCGAACAATTGCTACCTAACTTAAGTCTTAAAGTTCATAATAATTAAAAGTCAAAATAACTTCATACAACAACTACTTGATACTTATTCATAAGAAATTCTAACTGTCGTCTTTATTGTTTATCAAAACAATTATATTTTGAGGCATTCTTAGTACATTTTGGAGCGCCAATTTGTTTCACACATCAAAGTCCTGTGTTCTCGTGAGAATTCCTTGAAATTTTCGACAAGGAATCGAATCAATCGTCATCACATTCTTGTCAGTTATAAGTTATGATTATGTATTTGATTAAATTAAAAAAACTTACAATAGTTTTTTTTTTCAGCAATTTGAGCCAACGTTTAATTTAAATATCGGGGTGCCATGCTTCGGCACGAATGTATCCGCTCGACCGGAGTGACCACGGCTCACGGAAAACCGACGTGAAACAATACTTGCGTTACGTTTCGTCATGTGAGTGAGGTTACCAGAGGCCCAATTACCCAATCT